TGGGGGAGACATGGCCCAAGGGCCCAGCCATCAGCCAGACACCCTGGGTTACCCGGGGAGCCCAGCATGGCTAGACTCACAAAAGCGGCAATGGCAGCTCCATCCCGGGAGGTCACAGCGGCAAAAGAGACCACCAGGAAGATGATGATGGCGCTGACACAGCGGAGGAAGTCCTGGGCGGGGAGAGGTGAGGGTGCAGAGTCAACTGGAGGGCCAGAGGGCAGGAGACAGCACCCCAAGGTTGTTCGAGGCACTTTTCGTACCCCGCCCCCACCATGGGTATCCCCCAGGGGATGGAGGCAGACAACCCGTGTTCCCCAGGACAGCCAGGGACTGGGGCACATGGCTGGAGCCCACCGTCAGACCCTAGAAGTGGGGCGGGGCGGGGCAGGGCAAGGCTGGGGCTTTGGACTTTTGCCAGGGGGCTAGGAGCTAAGGCCTGAGTGTCCTCTCACATCCCTTAACCCATGTGACTGGAGTCCGAGTGGGTCAAGGCTGGCCTGGCGCACAGGCCACAGCAGAGGGGCTAGCCAAGCAGGCCGTGAGGACTGGGCCCAGGACACAGAGAGCAGGCCGCTGGAAGTGGGGGGCTGAGGCAGAAGCAGAGGGCGGGACCAGCATGGGCTGGGGAAGCAGGACTCCTCACCAGGCAAGGCCAGTTCAGCCGATCAAAGCGCTGGTAGTACTGGGTGGCGTAGAGGAAGAGGAAGGCGAGCGTGACGAAGAACTCGAGCAGAGCCGCAGCCATGTAGGCGGAGACGGAGGCCGTGAAGCAGATGAAGATGAGGAAGGTCAGGACCTGCCAGACAAAGGGCCCCGCCCGATCTTTGCTTCTGTCTCCCAGGGAGCCCCTCCACCCCCCACCCTCACCCTCACCACCATACCCTCGCTGACCGCCCTCAAGTGTCCTCGGAGAGAAGCGAGAGCTCGACCGGTAGCTCGACCAGTCTCCACACCGCTGGTGGCAGGAGCTACTTGCTCCATGGGGCAGTCTGCAGCCTCCCACGTTGCCAGCCCAGGCCCCCAGCCCCTGTCCCCCACCCGAGGGCCGCAGCTCCATCAGCTGCTTAAGTCCAGGGGCACCGTTTGAAGGGTCAGCAGCGGTGTCCCCTGATGGGAGGGGTTCAATGTGAACCCCTGGAGCTGGAGGCTGCAGCAGACCTGGACCCCAGGCAGCCGCCTTCCCCCATAATGCTCTGTCATGCCCAGACCCTGAAATTCCTCTAACAAGAACCCCGGGCTGTAATGGAGAGCAGGCTGAGAAGG